ACATATTTATTCTCAACATGCGACATGTCATATGTTTATATACAAAAACGTATGTTACAATATTTTCAAATGCAATAAATTACAAAACTGAAACAAAAATATGCTTATATGTGCATTTGGACAACAAATATATGTATATATCTTTAAAAAGTATACTATAGGGTGCCCACCAGGGGGCTAGGCCGGCTGCCTTGCATTTTTTAAAACCTTGATCATTTCATCTCTCAAGAATTGCAACTTAACTCATCGATATAATCAAGATGGATTTTCTTTTCTTTTTTATGGCATATCTTTGAACTTTATTTTTTTTATCACTTCACTCTCAAGATTTTCAACTTAACTCATAGATATGATCATGGCGATGTCTGTTTAGATATGTATGCATTGGTAGTTATAGTCTTGAGTTGATGCATGAGTATCTACAATCTCAACTTTTGATTCATAATTTCCCATTTATACCCAAAACAGAGCATGGAATCAGGCAAAAGAAGCCTTGGGTGCTCTATTGCTAAGCCCTTCATGCTCTCCATCTAATCTTCCGCAAATTCATGGTCTTGTAATAGCAACTGGGTTTTCCTCAAAACATCTGTCTAAATACACTTTTGGTATCCAAATACCATTCTCCAAGGCCCAAAAGCAGCCCCCCTTGTTTTCAACTCTGTGATTTTAGAGCCAAATTCCATGTTTTGGAATTTAATGATCCGAGGTTGCTAACTCAAAGAAATTATCGATATTTACAGTGAGATGATGAACTCAGGTTTGAGTCCTGATAGCTCTTTTTGAAATTTTTAACTTATATTAAGAAATTAGAGGAGTACAAGAGATGTAGGCCAAATGTAGAAAATCGAACCAGAAAGATTAACCAGACTTAGGGCTGCAAGCGGTTCAACTGGCCTAAACGATAAACCGGCCAGTTCAATTGGCCTAACCAGGCAAATCTAGGGCGGTAAAAAAAAAAGTTAAAAATTCAAAAAAATCTAATAAAATATGAAAAGTATATTTAAAGCATGATTAAAGAAAACACATTTAAATGAAGTTGAAAATTAATGAAAAAAATGGATTTTAAAGAATCGATTTGTGCTCAATTGTATTTTTGAAATTTTTCATAAAAGATGAGAAAATACAAAAATAAGTATTAATGGCCAAAAAAATTTTCAATCTTTGTCAAAATGATAAAAATATTAAAAAATACATTACAAATCAAATTTCTTATTTTTTGGGATTTTATATAAATTTTTTGATTTTTTTTTTTTAAATATCTGGCTGGTTCACCAAAGCCGGCTGAAACCGAAACTGGCAAGTGGCTTTTGCCTCAAATCGAAGCTCTTTGAGTCACAATCGAAATGCCTTCATTTTTTGGTCTATCTGACCTCTAGGCTTCGAGTTATGATTGTTGGAGCGAGAACACGTCATGCGCACAAATTTTCTGCATAATGTATTTTTGTGCGACCTTCTCTCTAAGATTTCTCTCGGCTCGGTCGACAGATTCATCCATGGTATCAGTCAAAAGTTTGCTCTCTTTGAGGAGAACAACATATCAAACTTTGGCCTCGATCCACCTTATGATTGATGAGATGTGAGTATTGCAAGTTTGTCATGTTTTTTAGAAGAGATATAAGTTTTTCACTATGTTAGGCAGCTGGTTTTGATTATCCTCCCCTGAATAGTAAATGACCTACTCATTTTATGAAAGTAGGACTTAGAGAGGTCAATTTGGCCTAAAACTTGCTAGTTATAGGTTTTTAAGCTTTTTGAAGTCGTCTGCAGTGATCTGAAGACCATTGGAGATCACCTTCAGGGAGATTTGGCTATGCTGTTGCTTGTAGATATATAGAGCAGAGTACTCCAAACTGTATCATCTTCTTGTCTCTTCTTGTCTTCACATGCTCAGGGCGAAACTTGGGAAAGGACTTTAGGACATTAAATGCTACTCTTGGACACCTTTTGGGGCCGAGTTGATACCCGTACATTGGTTCTTCAAAATTGAGCTTATTCCGCACTGCCTTCCGTAGTGCCTAGGCATATTTGGTACCCAAGGGCTATGGTCGCAACCACCTCCTCTTTTATGTACATGGGGAACGAGGTGCATCAAAAATATAGGTCAACATTAGGAAGTCTCTCTCTCTAGAGATATTAACATGAAATATTAAAATAAATTGCCTATTAATAGCAACCATAAAATTCTCTCCTAAGATTTTATCTTCTAAAAGTCTCTTACTACTTTTTTTCTCCATATATCCTCTCACATTTCTCTCTCATCCATGTCTCTCCCTCTTTCTAAAGAGGGTACACATCTATCTTCTTATATTTCTACACCAATATTTTTAGGAAGTCTCTCTCTCTAGAGATAATAATAGGAAACATAAATGAAGTAGTTTATTAATAGGAATCATAAAATTCTCTGGAAAGATTCTCAATCTTTTAAAAGTTTCTTATTTCTTAATTTTCTCTCCCTAAATCTCTTTCATATTTCTCTTTAATCCGCACATCTCTCTATGTAAAAAGGGTATGTATATCTCTCTCTACCTAAAGATGAAGTAATATGTTCAACACTCTCTATAGTATTAAAATCGTTTCTTATTTTCGCAACACGTACCTACCATTTACCTCTAGCTTAATAATATAGTATAGATAACTTGAGTAAAAATGAATTTTAGGCTATCAAAAAAGTTTTCGCCGAAGCTACGTAGACACAATTTAATGGTGCGCCTTGCTTTGATTACTTAGAGTTGGCACCCTGTACAAACCGCACCATGTAAAATGTTTTTACACCTCCCAAAATTAATGTCCGATGTTCTTGTACGATGAGTGCACTTCTCATCGCGTACATTTCCTCTTCATATCTCTGAGTCTCCGATGTTGATTTATCTTTGGGCCTTCACAAAATCTTCAATATCTGTTTTTACCACATCTCTCTCTCTCTCCCTATTTTGCTCGTCTCCCAATTCCATGATCCCACTATTTACTCCTTTTGACAAAACTTAAGGTCTGAAAAAAGGGAAAAGGTTTGTATAAAGTTGCAACCTTAAAATGTAGAATCACATATATATCTCAAAAATCTATTGGAAATGTTGTTTTAATGTTGAAAAAGCCTTAAAGAATCATCTAGACATAGAGATCTATGAATATGGGAAAAAAAAAATTTTGAA